GAGCCATGTGCGTGTGTGATGGAGGTCCTGGAGGGTGCAGGGTAGACAGACTCCCTCCACTTGTATAATGGGAAGAGGCTGCCACAGGCAAGCTGGCAGGGGCTAGAGATACCTGGGGGTTTAGTGGTGCCACCGGAAACCAACCTGGTGGAGCCACCTGTATGGAAAATGGTAATAAGTGCTGAGGGAACGTTACAGCACAAAAATCACGTTTTAGTTTTGTTCATTTTTGTCATGAACGTACAAACAAATTCCCGAATATTTCTGGCCAAAAAGCTTAGTTTCAGGATCAAGTACACGCTGTCTGGCTTTATTTAATCATATTTAATGATATACATCTTTCAACACCAGCATCGATGATACAGCTGTCCATATAAAGCAATAAACATACATGTAGATAGGAAATACACATATTAGACAAAATGTCTTTCTGTTGAGAATTAGATGAAAAGCTGGGCACCACTCACAGACTCTAGGCAGCAACTGGTTATCTTTAAAAAGCAAAAAAGTGGAATCGGGGAGACAAGTGCAAAAATTGAGCGTTATATGCCTTATATTAATCATACAAACACGAGAATGGTATCAGTCTTTTCATTGAAACAAGCATATTCATTAACTCTTCCTTTATTATGTGTGGAATGCATATTGCAGTTTGTAGTCCTACCTCAGTCAACTGGCTCCAGCCTCCCAACTCCTGTACCTGCTGATTCTGCTTGATCTGATTCAATGAAGGCTTTTGTGGGGCGGGGCACACTGGATCCTTCGTCCAATTATCAACAAGTTTGTGCAGTTCATCTGTGAATGTGCTTTTTCTTAGAGGACTGTGATCTGTGGAAATTGAGGAGACTCATCATCCCACTGTTTTTCACCAAATTATGTGTAGTCTAATTTAGCACTATAATGACAGCCATACCTCTTTTAGCAGGTAGTGAAATGTGGTGCTCTGGGCTGCAGTATAGGGGCAGTCTGCTCTGTTCACCCCCTGAAAAACTACTTGACTGCTGAATTCCTAGATGAGACGAAAAAAATAGTTGCACAAAGAGCAAGCAAAAGAGGGAAAGTGAGAGAGAAAGAATCGATAAAAAGTCTTACCAGAGCATGAAACTCCATTGTTATCCATGTGAGAGTGAGGCCGGGACCGGAGCTTGACTTTGGCTGGCCTGGGTCTGCGAGGAGAGATGGTAGGAGTTGCCGTGGAGAAAGAAGGGGTCCGGGACAGGGAGACAGGCAAACTTTGCCTTTGATCTTTGAGGGATCGAAGCTGTCTGTACAGTTCCTGCAGCTCTCTGTTCTGCTGGGCCTGAAGAGATACCACCTCTTTGATGTGCCTATAGAGGAAGCAATACAAAACAGTGAAATCATTTTTAATCTAAAAATATAATAAATGGAAAGACAAGCATCTTATAAACTCTAGAATAATAGAGTTAGGACTTTCCCCTCTTTTGACTTACTTGTCCCGGAGCTTGTATAGCTCTCTTTTTAGGTCTTCATCCTCCAACTCACTCTCATCATCATCATCACTGCTGCCCAGGGCTGAGTGGCTGTGTCCATGACCTCGAGGCAAGTGGGCCATTGCTGGGGCCCTCTTACTTTCTTCTTTCTCGCCTTCCTTTGGCCGAGATCTCCTCTTCTCCCTCTCCAAATCAGGAGACACCGGGGAGCTGTCAGTCTGCCTGTCCTCTTTCTTCATCTCAGCCTGGGTTACAGAGAAGCGACCCACTTTCCTGTGAGTGCTACCTTGGCCTGATTGTGCATCCATTGAGGGAGAGGTCTGAGGCACTGGAGTCACCTGATGGCAAATGATGTGGGAGACATTAGTGGCTTGTCCAGACTGTACTGTAGGTTCAGGTGAATGAACTGCACCAAAATCAATACTATTCCTCCTACCTGAAATCGTCCTTTGCGAGACTGAGGTGGATTAAGGGGTGGTGCCTCCTTCTCCTCTCTGAGTGCCTGACTGCTGGGATGTCCATCTGATAAAGAGATAGGGATGAAAAACAGAAAGGGGAGACAAGGACCCAGAGACAAAAACAGACACACAGATACAAAGACCATGTAAATGACAAGATATATGCACACAAAAGTAACAAACAGAAAAATGACATGTAGACACACATAAACATGGGGCATGAGCACAAAGGCACATTGTTAAAAATCACCCACTAATGTCACACATCATCAGTTTCATGACTTACAAGGCTTGCATGCAGGTCTATGAAATGTGTAAATACATGTTGAGTTCTGTTAAAGTAATTTTTCTAAATTATAATTTATAAACTGAAGAACAAATGTTAAGCCTTTATGAATGTGAAAATACATGCTTAAGAGAAAGGTGAGTAAGCATGTGTGTGTGGGAAGGGGTGTTAAATGCTTGTTTCAGTAAAAAGAAAATCATAGTAAATCATTAATACACAAGTGAAATGGCAGTTAAATGTTTTCAACAGTGTACCCCCACCCACCCACACATCCACTCTCATTCTCACTCACTCACTCATCTATCAGACAACAAAGCCCAAAATCACATTTGAGATCTGCGCTCAGATCCACAGTGATATTGTTCAATGTGTTTGATACCTGGGATATATGAGTAAAGTGTGTACATGGATCATCACAGTATCATTTAAGGCCAACATAAAAATATGCAGCTTAATGTAGGTGTTACTTACAGATAACGATCCATTGTTAGTCAGTCATGTGGAACGTGACATACATGCTCATGCATCTGCACTTGTAGCAAAGAATATACTGTAAGCTGCTGCTACACATACATATAAACACAAATACATGCAAAATGGCTGGAATATTTAAAGCAGCAAGCTCAAGCTCAGCCATATGATAAGCCTGCCCATGTACAGCAGAACCTCACTAACTTGTAGGCCCAAGAATAAGTAGAAATAATGACTTACATCATTATCTGCAACTAAAGCATACTGTATATCAGGGTCTCACTGAGCAATGAGCTGACACAGAAAGTGACCACATATTCTTAGACCCTGTTTAGACTTGGTTTTAAAATGTGTCCTGGGTGATCAGATCACAAGTGGACAGCGCTAAATACAAGTGTGATCCAATCACTGAAACCACTTGCCGAAGTGGTCTTGGACACATTTGACCACATATCTTTTATAATGTAAACAATGTGTCCTGATGCATCTCTGACAAAGATGTTCAAGAAAAACAAGTCAGTGCAGGATGTAGTGGTTGCTTTGGTGAAAGCGTACTAGCCCTCAAATAAAGAAAACATGGAGAGAAACATCCACTACAAATCCATCAATGTATTACAAAACCTTTCAGTTAGGAAGACTACTGGTGTTTGTCTGGTAACTGATTGATGTAATAATTGTGCCCGTGGCCTTTCGATATCTAAGCAGAAGTGTTGCAGCGGTAATGAAATTTGAACACAGTGGTCAGCTGGACACCTTGGAGACATATGCATAGACAGGTGTGTCCTGGCTGTCCCACTGTGTTCGGATCATGGAGATGCATTTTAAAACCAAGTCTAAACAGGGCCTTAATGACAGCTGGTAAAAGAATATCTTATCTGTGTTATGATGTGAGCTGCATAGTGCTGGTGCCAGCAGGTGGAGGTGGTTGTGGCTGACCGGGAAGGGGGTGTCATATGAAGGGATATGTCCAGAGCACTGGTGTATTTTGCTCCAGAACTCATCTGCACTGCAATGGGCATCAGACTTCTGATGCCAACCTCTTCCTACACCGTGCCAATCTCCCACCCTCCTCTACTCTCCACTGTTCTCACCCCTGGTTGAGTAACTCATGCAAAAAGAAAGACTGCCAACAACAATTAAATTACATAAAAAGGAATTCAGCAAAATAAAATAAATAAATAAATAAATAAAAAGAACAATAATGTATGTAGTGATGTCGACACTGACATTACATTGGGATAGTCACATAACAATACAAAACCGAATAATTTCATTGAAAACATTAAAATTCTTTAATGTTAACCAGTTATTAATTCCTGATGGTTAATAGAGTTATTTTACTATGTTAAAACCGTCGCTAGATGTTAGATTTAGGTCCATGCCCCAACATCCCATTCTCTCTCTCTCGCTCTCTCTCTCTCTCTCGCTCGCTTCCTAAGAGGACGCTACCTTGCTGGACTCTGGGCTTCTTGAACAAGCTGGCGGAGTGGCGCAGTTTGCACGCCCAGTTTTTGAATTTGCGAGTCCAGGATTTCTTGCTAACAGGATTTCTGATACTAGGACATGTCAGGTTTAGGCCAAAATATCCACCTCCTTCATTGTGCTGGTGCTGTCCATGCCGGATGGAGATCGGGTGCTGACTGGGGGACCATGATGCATCTCCAGTGGTACTGGTGTCAGAGTGTGGGGGAACAGCCTAGAACAATTAAAACAATTAAGAGTGGCTACATGGAGTTGAGATGTTCGAACATTTACACAAATATCACAAACAGCTGAAAAATAAGTGAGTGGAGTCACATTTAAACAAAGAGATATAAATAGTAAAGATAATATAAATTTAATACTCTGGAAGACAAAATCGAATCTGTGGAATTTGCTCACAAGAATGGTCGGTTCTTCTGGTACAGGTGGACCCTGACCCTGGGGCCAAACAAAGTCATACTGACTGGAAGGGAAGGGAGCGGCAGATAGGGTGGATGAGCCAGGCTGCTGCTCCACTGGACCCAGCTCTGTAGAAATGGGCATTTCTGAGGGAGCTTCCTCTCCTCCATCCCTCTCAGGGTCAGGGGTGGTGGAGGAGGAACGGGAGTTGGTGGAGGAGGTAGTGGAAGATGAAAAGTGGGGGGAAGTATCTGAGGAGGAGGCCGGTGGGGGGAAAGACTGTGGCTCAGATGACTCGTCTCCTCCTGCTGATGTGGAAGCAGCTGATGGAGGGCCAGAGGCAGCTCCCCCAGCCCATGCTGTGCTGTATTCCTGATATAACAAGTTCCTCAGCTTTTCATCCAGAGTCTTCATGCGGTTGTCTACAAATTCAATTTTGGGTGGCCCTTCACTGTCTGACTCAGCTACAGAGGAAGGCTGAGCAGGGGATGGAGTCATTGTCTGGGACAAAGCAGGTAAGGGGGCTTCAGTGGTGCCCAGATGGAGAGGTGGCAGAGAAGAGTCAGAGGAAGGGTGAAAAGGAGCAGAGTGGTTGCCTGTGTCCTCTGTGACACTTGTTTCTCCTGCGGACACCTCTGACTCTGACATCTGTAAAGAGGACTGCTTCTGCAGTAGAAACTGCTGCTGTTTCTGGGGTGTGTCTGTGGCTTTAACCACCTCCTGCTGGTGCTCAGTGTGTTGCAGCTGTTTCTGTGACTGTATGTGTTGGAAAAAAACAGGAATTTGGGTTTGTTGTGGAATCTGCTGCTGTGGTACAGGGCTAGCATTTAGCTGTACCTGTGGTTGAAGAAACTGTTGACTAATTGACAGGGGCATTTGGCCTTGATCTGGCTTTAAAGCCACAGCACCCATAAACAGCTGCTGCTGCTGCTGCTGCTGTTGCACCATTTGTTGTTGCTGTAACTGTATTATCTGTTGAAGATTTAACTGTTGTTGTTGCTGATGATCTGTATGGGCCTGTTGTTGCGTCACTATAGCAACTTGGGGTGCCATAACCTGCTGTGGTAACTGCTGTAACTGAGACTGATGCAACATCTGTGGCAAATATTGTGTCATTTGCTGTTGCAGAAGGGGCTGTTGGGTCTGCTGCAGGGGCACTGGTGGCAGAAACTGCTGTAGAGGCATAGACTGTTGTAACAATTCTGTATGACCTGGAAGAGGTAGCATCTGCACCTCATTCAGTTGTTGAAGTGGTATTTGTTTCTGCATTAGTTGTTGCTGGACAGACTGTTGCAATGCTTGTTCCTGCTGTAGCTGAATTTGTTCTTGGTTCACTGATGGTATGTTGTGATGTGATTGCTGTTGTTGGGGTGCTGTTGGCTGCTGTATCTGGTGTTCTAGCTGCACTGCCTGCAGTTGTTGTTGAGCTGCTGGTTCTTGCTGCTGCAATGCAGGCTGTATCTGTGGTTGTGGTTGTTGTGGGGTTTGTTTGGCCACCTGGGCGAGTGTCTGCTGCTGACCCACGGCAAGCTGGCTTACGACAGGAGAAGCCCCTGCAGAAACAGAAGGATGGGGATGGTACTGCAGAATCAGAAGGATGGGAATGATAAGAGGGTGAAGACTTGTCTACTGCAGACAAATGGGACCTTGGATCAGTTATCACTGTATACTTTATACTTTGAACTACAGTGGCGCAACCACTGGTTCCAAGGGAAGTGAGGGTATCAGAGAAAACGACGGTTGGTGTGGGAGAAACAACAGTAGAAGATGTGGACAAGATGGGGAGGTTAGGAATTTGGTCAGTAGTAGCAGAGGTGAGGACTGGCAGTTCAAGGCCACCTGAAGCATTGACAGGGACAGAGGCTTCAAGAGTGGAGGCTGGTGCAGTGATGTTATCAGAGGCAGTGGTGTGAGGAGCAGGGGAAACGGCAGCTGGCAGGGCCATGGAGACAGGAGCTGAGATTGTGGAAACTAGAGGGGAGGCGGTAGGAAGAGTGGGGCAGGGGGAAGAGGCCATTCCAGTCATTGATTCCAGCCTTTGGGATCCTTCACTTTCTATAGCCACAGAGATGAACACACAGTTAGGCTAAGTTATGCTGCAAATTCAGTCATGTTAATAAACCATAGCATTAAAATAGACCTGGGTGAAGTATACCTTTCTCTGTTTTAGGAGACTGGGGTATCCCTGTCTCTGCAGTGGGTGGTGACGTAGCTGCTCCCTGGCTGGACAAAGAGTCTCTATGGCGGATGGTCTGGTTGATAAAGAAGCGCCAGCGCCCCACTGGGGAGGAATGGGGCACTGACTCTGCTGAGAAATCATGAATAGTTAATAGATAGTTCACTAATTATAACTAGTTATACTATGTAGAGCATGTTCTTATTCTGTCGGATTTTGTGCATTAAAAACTATAGTATATCCATAAACTCACTTGCTGAGCTAGTGGGAGTGTTCGTATGTAACTGGTCAGTTGATCCAGTCTAAGAGAAAAATAAAAATTGAAATCTGTCATCATTCAATCAAAACAGAAACATGCAATAACAGAGGAGAGAAGGTGATAGATGAATTTAAAAATTAATATACCTGTGAATGTGTCTGAAGAATCTCATGGGCTTTCTTAACTATTGCTCTAAGCTCCTCAACAAATTTCTCTTTCTCTACATCAAGGACAAAATTCTCCTCCACCTACAAACAAAATTAAACAAAGCAGCCATTTTTATGGCATAGAATGATACTTGTCAGGAATCAATGCAGACTACAGCAGTGCATAAGATGTTTACCATGTAATCTGCTATGTCTTCGGGGGCATCCCCTTCAATATCAAATTTAAATGTCACCATCTTGTTGCTATGAGTCTCCAGCTGACATTCCACCATGTTGTCCCCACTGTTGGACACCTAGGGTTGACAAGGTCAATTAACATCATGTACTTGGCCTATTCAAAATCTGTTGGCATACATGAATTTAGCAATATATTTGGTGATTTGTTGCTGTTGTATTCACCTGGAGCATGCTCAACTGAAACTGATGTGAAACCTTCTCAGACTTCTGACAGGAAGCTCTTTTTTGAATTTTTGATTTCTCTAACTTCCCATTGGACAAGAGCTGAAGAGTTTCTTCTCCATTAGCAGGAACAGAGCTGTGGGTAGTAAGGCAGTAGGTCTTTTACACATCATCATGTAAGGCAGTGGTCCCCAACACCGGGCCGCGGACCGGTACTGGTCCGTGGATCAACTGGTACCGGGCCGTACAAGAAATTATTAATTATTTCCGTTTTATTTATTATCTGAGTATGAACGATCTTTTATTTTGAAAAATGACCGCATTCTCTCGGTTACATCTCGGTCACTTGAGCGCCAAAACTGGCTTACTTGTGCGACATATTCAGCCTGCTCAATGAACTCAATCTGTCACTTCAGGGGAAAATGACAACTGTCTTCAAGTTGGCAGATAAAGTAGACCACAAAGGACCCACGAACTGCCAAGGAATGGATCTGCAACCCATTTGTCAACAAACCAGGTGAATCCAGCAGGTCTGTGCAAGAAGAAGATCAACTGCTGGAGATCGCAAATGACGGCGGCCTTAAAAGTATGTTCGAGACAACAACTCTGTCGGTGTTCTGGATTAAAGTCATGACAGAATACCCTGAGATCGCCACCACAGCACTGAAAACTGTGTTACGAGGAAGCTGCTAATAAAGTTGCATACAAGTACACAGTGAATTCACATTTATTATTATATTTACAATATACGCAATCTACGTACCCCCCGAATACTGTTACTGCGCTGTCTGTAATTCACTAAAATTAAAACAATATCTAAAAGCCAAATATGTATATGTAATGCATGTAGTTATTAACAACACACTGCACATTTGGCTATTTTACCACAAATTTAACTAATTTAAACATACATATTTGAAGAGGCTGTTAACTCCTGTGTAGGTACGGGTGATACTGGCAAAGTGTTTAGACTTATGTACATGCTGCATCGACTATTACTGTTAAGATCAGACAGTAATGGTATCATGACATACCCTGTAGAAGAATGATGTTCTGTACTTGAGAGGTGTGGTCCATCCTGTAGAATAACAAGAATACACAAACATAGGCGTATGCAGGCACACCAAAAGAGAAAGCACAAAAAATATTAGCAACAACAGTTGCAAATAAACTAAATGTAACTATGGATAATATGACATTTAATAGTAAATTACTGTTCTATGAGCACAGTAATTTTAAAACATTTTAAAAACTTGTTAGTTTGAATCAAAAAGGCACAATCAAAGATTTTTTTCAAATAATTAGGTAGATAGCAGCATTCTCATTCATTCTGCCATTAAGCCAACAACAATTATTTCCTGGGTAGTTAATTAACATTCATCTTTCTTGTACCTGAGCAATGCCCAGCAGGGAAAGGTCACAGTCTTGCAGCGAAGCTTGGGGTGGTTTGGGGTCATTAGATTCAAGCGATTGTAGAGCAGTGACAGGTTGGGGGGAGGTGGGTATAAAGTCGACCTGCCCTGGTAAGGTTACCTGGGCAGCTGGTGCAGATGAAGGCAGTTCTGGCGCAGAGGAAGCAGCAGGATGGTGGGATGGGAAAGATGGTAGTGATGTTGGGGGACATGAGGTATGAGAGAGACTGAGGGGCACATGTTGTGTGGGAAAGACAGCATGGGGTAAGACAAGCTGTTCAGCTCTAGGCGTCTCTGTAAGTGTCTGAGTGTGTGAATGAGTCTGTGTCTGAACAAGTGTCTGTGTTTGGGAGTGTGTTCGGGCCTGAATGCTGGTTTGTGTGTGTGTGTGAGATGGCAGCATCTGCTTGGCCTGGTGCAGTGGAGATGGAGGAGGGACTGCCTGCAGATGAGTACAGAGCGGTGGGGTTCTGTCTGGGGACTGAAGCTCAGCCACATTACTGGAGACTATATGTGCAGGGGGGTGGGTCACCAGATGTGAAGCAGGTGGACACTGTGGGGGCAGCTGACTCTCGGCAAGGGGTATCAAAGCCTGCTCAATAGAAACTGATTGATGGATGGGAGTTGGGATGGGCTGTGCCAATAACTGGGGGTGCACAGGAGGTGGAGCTAGTGGCTTCTGCACCTGCGAGACCTTCTGTAGGCATTGCTGGTATTGCTCAGTAGATGGAGTCATAGTAGAGATGGGGTGAATGACTGGAGGGTCAGCAGTGATTTCTATGGGCTTCTGCTGGGACTGAACAACTGGTGTTGTTTGGCCTGCAA